AAGCAGGAGAATGGGGTTGAGGAACTTATCAGCCATGATTGAATGGCGGAGCAGACTCAATGGGCCGAATGGCCTAATTTCTGCTCCCACGTCTTATGGTCTTAAATTCAGCAGGTCTGGCAGCATCTGTGGAAAGAAATTAAAATCAATGTTTCAGGTCCAGTGACACTTCTTCAGAACCACATCTGCATTTCTTTGGTTTTTGCTAATCTGACTTAGTCAGTCACATCTGCCATTTGCTTTTTCTGAAGCATTGTAAACATACAATAAATTGCAAATGATGTCATCATTGATTTTTTGGACATGAACACCACCTAGAGGCGTGAGTCTGCAACTTTCATAGGGGAAAAAAACGTAAAACCTATCCTCTCCTCTATCCATCTTCTAACCGCCTCCCACTCTCTCCCTATTTATTTCAGAACCCCCTTCCCCTCCCCCTTTTCTGATGAAGGGTCAAGGCCCGAAACGTCAGCCTCTCTGCTCCTATGATGCTGCTTGACCTGCTGTGTTCATCCAGCCCTGCACCTTGTTGTCTTGTAAAATAATACAAAAGAGGAGAGAACCCAAAGCAAATAAAAAACAGGAAAAGCACCATACTGCAGTACAGATTCAGTCATTGGCATGTTTAAGAGCATGAAGCTACACGAGAATGATGGAAAGCAAACTTCACACCACAGAATTGGTTGACATAAATCAGTTGTTTAAAGGAAGACACAATCTTTATTTTATGAATGGCACATAACTGACAAGGTATTGAAAGCAGTAACGTTTTTTCCAATTTGTTCACTGAAAACTTAATTAGAAAAAATTGCTGTAGTAAGTCTGACGATGATTTCTAAGATCCTGACACACTTTTTTTCAAATTTTAGAAAATCACCTTACAACTTGAATTAATTTTAGGAAATGCATGTCACACCAGGCAAAGCAATCAGATACTCAAATTGATTGGGATTAACATTCAAAATGATTTAAGTTTACATTCAAATTAATTCACACTCACATTTACTGATCGATTCAGATTCAAAATCAGAATGATTCAGATTGATTCAGATTCACATTAAGATTGATTCAGAATCAAATCCACAAACTATACAAATTCTTTGTCAAATTGGTTAAGATTCAGAAACAAAATGATTAAGTTGTGTTTTGATTCAGATTTGGGTTCAGATTGATTTAGATTGACATTCAGAACTATTCAAAATTGTTTAAGATTTGAACTCAATTAATTCATGTTACCATTAAATGATTGATTTGGACTCAAAATCAGAATGATCCAGATTCAGAATGATTCTAATTCAGTCATGTTCAGATTTAAATTTTGAATTATTCTAATTCAGATACAAATTGTTAAAAACTTACATTCAGAATAGTTTACACGCCGATTCAGATTGACTCAGATTCATGTACATAATTATTCAAATTTGATTCAGATTTACATTCAATATTATACAGATTTTTGTGCTATTCTGATTCAGAATTATTCAGATTCAGATCATGATCCTGATTGATTCAAATTCAAACTGAGGATGATTTAAACTCAGATTCACACTGATTCAATTTCACATTCAGAATAATTGAGATTGCGAACATTTCTGTTTTGAATGATTCAGATTCAGTTATAAAACCTGAAAGAACTGCAGATACTGGAAATCAGAAACAGATAGATTCAGATTCAGAGGAGGATGATTAAGGTTCAGGTACAGATTGACTGAGATTCATATTGGGAATGCTTTAAATTCAATACCAGGCTGTTTCTGAATTTTATGATTAAAACTCAGATTCAAATCGATTTAGATTCATACTCAGAATGTTTCAGTATCTGTTTAAGATTGATTCAGATTCACATTCAGAATGATTAAAGTTTGGATACAAATTGGTTCAGACTCACTTGCAGAATTATTTAGATTCACATTCACAATGACTCAAATTTGGATTCAAATTGTATTGGATTCACAGAATGTTTTATACTCTGTTTTGGATTGGTTCAGATTCATGTACATAATCGTTCAGATTCTGAGTTAGATATGTTCAGATTTACATTAGAATGATTCAGATTTGGATTCGGATGTTTCAATTTCACATTCAGAATGAACCAGATTGATTTAGATTTGGATTCAAAATGAATCAGATTTGAATTCAGAATGATTCTGATTAAGTATGAAAATGATTCTGATTCAAATGTTCTGATTTTCAGATTCAACATTTCCTGTTTTTATTCCATTATCTGAAAACTTGCAAATAAAGTAGGAAATTGTGCAATTATTGGTGAACATCCCCTCTGACTGTATGAAAACGGAAGGTCATTGATGAAGCAGCTGAAGATTGTTCAGTTAAGGACAATATCCTGAGGAACTCCTGCAGTGATTTCCAGGAACGGAAATGACTTCCTTTGTGCTAGAGGTAACTCCAGCCAATGGGATGTTTTGCCCCTACTTCCCATTCATTCAAGTTTGCTTGTGTGCATCATGTTACACTCGGTCAAATACTGCCTTGATATCAAGGACTGTTCCCCTCATGTCTCCACTTGAATTTGGCAGTCTTATACTTGTTTCAACGAGCACCATAGTCAGATCTGGGTGAAATGTGCACTGAGCATTGGTGGGCTATTGTTCACTAGGTGTCACTGGATAGCACTGTCTTCAATACCTTCCTTTATTTTGCTAATGATTCAGTGCACTCAAGGGTGGTAATTCTGTCTATTTGTGGGCAGGACATATCCAGGCAATTTTCAACCTTGACAGGGAGACGCAGTTTTCTAGCTGTACTGCAACAGCTTGGCTAGGGACATAATTAGTTCTGGAATACAAAATTACAACACAATAGCAGGAATGATGTTAGAATCTTTGCAGTATCCTATTCTGTGATGCTGAGGACCTCAGGATGACACTAAGATGGATCATCCACTCAGCACTTCTGGATGAAGATGGATGCAAATGCTTCAATTTTGTCTTTTGGACATAATTTGAGGTTGCGGATATTAGTGGGTTGTTACCTCCTGTTAGTTGTTTAGTTATCCACTATCATTCATGACTGGATTTGGCAAGACTGCAAATATTTGATTTGTTCAGTTGATTGTACAATTGCTCAGCGCTGTCTTTGGATTATTGTTTCTCCTTTTTGGCATGCAGTACATTGTTATAGCCTCGCCAGTTTGGCACTTCATTTTTAGATGTTTCTGTTCCCCTCCTGGCATGCCATCCTACAGTTATCATTGAACCAGAGATGGTCTTTTGGTTTGATGGTAATGGTAGGGAAGTTGATATGCTGGGCTGTTACACATTATTGTTGAATTTAATTCCGCTGTTTATGGACCACACACCCTTCATGGGTGTTCAGGTTTTGAGCAACTGAATCAGTCCTGAATCTGGCCCACTTTGCATGATGGTAGGACCACACGACTCAATGAAGTGTCTCCTCAGTGGGAAGACATGCTTGGTCTCTGCAGACTGACTGACTGCAGAGGCTGTTGCAGTACCACCCAGTGGTTTGATAGTGTGCCATCTCCAGGTGGGAAGACCGACAAAGGTCAATGAGGAACTGCACGTAAGCTTACGTCAAGGAGAAATCAGTGCAGTTGCTTTTGAGGGGATGAACAAAGAGACAAATCCAACTCTTGTCATCGCTGAAAAGTAGTTAATGTTATAATTTCAGGTTGCCCTTAGTAAAAATAAATAAATATTCTACATTCAAAATGCTGCAGACATTGAAATCCCGAAATTAATACAAAAACATATGAAAGTGCACAGCGGGTCAAATAGCTTCTATGGAGAAGAACTTGAATCTATGTGGTATCCTAATACAATACCTCTCAATGCATTTCATAAGTAATACATCTTATTGAAGTCATCTAATGTCCAGATTTAGATAGATAGATCATTAGTTAAAAATCACCATAGTGACCTGTGCTAAATGGCAATAAAAATGCAAATAAAAATAATTACAATCCAGAATAACAGTTGTAAATAGTTATTGAAATGATGGATTATTTGGCCTGAAAGCTAAGATGACCATTTAGTTCACTATCTACACATGTGCGAATGGGCCTGATGATGACAGTTACTGGTGAGAGATATCCCAAAGTCAGAATGTATTTGCACATGTGTGGTCAATGTCACTATACTCTGTATGTAACAATGTCAAACTGTCTGTGTTTGTACAGATGGCCCTACTGAGACCGAATTTCCACATGTCCTGGGGAGCTATAGACTGAGAATCAGAAGCAAAGGCCAGTAAAGTAGTGGCAGACATTGAGTAGTGTAGTCAAGCAGCTGCTCATGGTGGATGAGAAATTAGCCCTAGGCTGAATTTGGATTTGTGGGGAGTACTGACTGCACTGAGGACACCCCGCACCATATCTCCACCACCCTCCCCATCTCACTGAATGCCCAAGGGCTGTCTTAATAGACTATCCTTCCCATTGGAAGGTAGTTGCACCCGTTACTTGGCAGTGACACACAAGTACAGTATCACACTTTTTAAAACCACTTTTTCAACTACAATATATTTGCAGACAGTGGGTTAAGTGAATTGCGATTGAAGTAGCACTGTCAGCTTTAATGCGGTGTTTTGAGTAATAGCATATGTGTGATGACATCAGTGGTAAAAATATGTTGGCTATTCTGGCAAACATTCCTTTTATTCGCTGTGGAAAGTACATACGAGAGAAGAGGGACAACATTTACCCTGCCAGATTGTAAAACCCATACAGATAAAAAAAATCATTTACATTTGAAAAGTGAAAATGATTTCACAATCAATCCACAAACAGTTTGTGTGTGTGCAAAGCTGTCCCTAAGCTGAGTTTGGAAGTGACCAAGGTATTGGAAAGCCCATCAAGCTGAATTTCCTGGAATCACTCCATTGGTGACCAAAGCCAGGAGAACTCCCTCACTCTAACTGCAGACGACTCGGGGCTAACGCCTGCCAGATGCGGTCGTGCAGCTGGTGAGTTTGCGCAGTGCCGGCCGGCTGGATGCCCGCTCGCGGCGGCACGTTATCAGTTCCGGTTCCGCCAGTTGTCACGGGTTACCGGCTCTGAGCTTGATCTCGGTCTGGGTTTCACACGGAGAGAGGAGATGGCGGAGTGACAGACGAGGTAAGTGAGAGTGAGGGGAGATGATCCTCACTCCCAGTGTCTGAGAGAGAATAGGAGGGTTATACCAGTACCTGACCCCTAACCTGTGTCTCGGGTTATCGACCGACCCCACTACCCCCCACCGGCCAGCGGTGAACCCGTCTTACCTTCCCTTACCCCTGCCCATGCTTAGGCATTGCCCCCTCCACAATAATTAGATCTGGGCTGGCCACTTCCCTCACCTCCGCTTTGAGTCCAGTTTGCTTTGTTTGAGAGAGAACGGGGTCGGTGTCTTTCCCCATGGATTTTGTTTTTGGTGGTGGTGGTGGTGGTGATGATGATGATGCTGCCTCGATGTGCCTGCAAGGTACGTACGGCATTCACCCCTTTCAATTGGAGAGGTAGGGAAGCTCACACTACGCAAATACAAGCTGTATGGCTGCCAAAGTTCTCCGGCTCTGGGGATTCTTAGTTTGGTCTCTGTCAGGGTCTTTTGTAGGTTCACTAATAGACGTTTATTTTACGACAGTTGGGCAGCAACAGCTATTGAATATTTTTAAGGCAGAGGTTGGTAGATCTTTGACTGATGAAGGTTTCAAATGGTATCGGTGCTAGGCAGGACAGTGCAGTTGAGGCCACAATTAGATCGGCCCCGATCTCATCAATTGGCAGAGAAGGTTCAAAGGGCCGAATGTCCACCTACTCCTGAGTTTGATGTTCGCAATTCTGTTGTTAGTGCGGTGCAGTGCATCACCCATGACGTCTGAAGTTTTGGCCTTATTTAAGAAAGATGTAAATGTTTTGGAGACAGTTCAGAAGAGGTTTACTAGATTGATCCGTTCTGAGGAAGGGTCACTGTGTTAACTCTCAAAGCGTTAACTCTGTTTTCTCTCTACAGATGCTGCCAAACCCCCTCTGTTTCTCCAGCACACTGTTTTATTTCAGATTTCCAGCATCCACTGTTCATTGTGTTCATCACTGGATTGATGTCTTATGAAGAAGAATTGAACAGACTGGGCTTGTTTCCACTGCAGTTAAGAGTTAAGACTTGATTGAAGTATGCAGAGTCTGAATACTCTTGTCAAGGTGGACATTGAAATTATCTTTTCTCATCTAGGTTAGTCCATAACCAGGGGACAGTGCTTTAAAGTCAAGTTAGGTCAAAGATGCAAATTTTCTTTTTGAGTGTCGTGCAACTTTGAAACTCCGTGCCGTAAAAGCAGTGGAAGCAGGGTCGTTTTATATTTTTGAGGTAGGGTATATAGATAACCTTTGATTCTGTTGATTAAAAGATATTGGTGGGGCGATAGACAGGAACATGAAATCCAAAACGCAGATCAACCATCGTAGTGTTGAATGGTGGAATATGCTTGAGGGGGCCCAATAACCTATATTTGTCCATTAGGTGTATGTTTATAGCATGGGCTTACCAGGGTATTGGAAGTAAACTGGGTGGATGTCTGTTTTTGCCTCCAGTATTTCTAATGATTTTTAGTGTACATTGCATCATCCTACTGCGTTTTGACTGGTTCTTTGCAGCTAAATTTTAATTGTATTTGAGCACTGCTTTGAGTTAGTTACAGGTTGTATTCTGTTTGTGTGGGAAAGTTGAGATTGGCAGTACTTGTAAATGTACCAGCTCCTGGGCAATAGGAAGCAGTTCAAAATTACTGGGTTTTTTTCAAACGATTCTAACACTAAACTGTGGCAGGAATGTTAGATCTACTATGTCTAGTTAGGTTGACTCAGATCTTGAACAGACAAGAAGCATTTTTAATGCAACACGTTTCCGGTAACCTGTGTAAATGGGCAATCAGAGCTTGTGATCAGCCATGCCTGGAAGATGATTGGATACTGCATAGATTTCTGTAGGATGCACAGCGCAAAAACAGGCTGATTTGATTTTTAGGTCCCTACTCCACATGAGTTTTCTGACACTCCTCTTCAAATAACCTTGTCTGCTTAGCCAATCAGCGGGCACCACTATCAGTGAATTAAAGGTAGGTATGACGGTAGAACACTAGTTGGAAAGAGCAGATGAAGGTTGAAATGAGCATGACAGTGGGGCTTTTTGACCAACAGCTGACTGATAGTTGGGTGTGCTCCAGAGCATAGAAATGGGGGTGTTGTTAGAAACTACGAAACTGGAAGAAATTATGACTCATTTAAGCTGCATCTTGGAGACAGTGGTAAAATGGTAGGAGGAGTACCTTCTGTTTTATCTCTGTTTACGTCTGTTTGGTCACAGTTATACAATTCCTGCAGTGAGGTGCACATAATAAATTCTGCTACTAGCAGTTTGAAGGTCTAAATGTCATGAGCTATGTAACCCAGTTAGGTAATATTGCGGGATCTTTGTTGTGTATACTGGGTAAGAGAAGTTCTTCTTGAAGGGGTTAGAGGGTTAGCAGATTGTGTATTTCAACCGCTACCATTCTGTATTTAAAACATACAACAGCAAACATCTTGTAGTTAAATACCACCTTTTTATGTGTAAAAATACCCGAAGGCAATTAAGAGGAACCAGCACGTAATGGGAGAGAAGAAGTGCTTTGGTGAGTATGACAACCAGAATTTTAAATGTGAGCTGGAGATAATTGTGGGTTAGTGAGGATTGTGAGTACATCAGACAGGGTGCAGGGTAAAATGGAGGCAACAGAACTGTGAAGAGTAGATTGATTAATTCTGACCTATCTGAAGAGTGTATGAGAGCTTTGGAGTAGGCATCATATGGTGCACCATGTAAGAAGACACATGGAAGTCGGAAGGATGGCAAGATAATGTACTGTGGTCGCACCTATTATTATGGAATAAATTCTTCATGGCTATATAAATACAAACAATTTAGAATGTCAAATAATCTTGGCATCTAATCCAATACATTTTCCTTTGCAAAGGTTGTAATCACTTGTACTTTATTCTGCAAGGGTCATTAGCATGGCAGTTTTTGTAACTGTTGAGGAGCCTGTCAATTTTTTTTTCATACTTTAAGTAATTGTAATGTCTCACATACACTCAAAGATCGAAGCCATTAATCATGTTTCCCATTTGCAGAAAAGCAGTGTAAGTGAGAAGGGATTACTTGGTAGAATGCAAAACTTAACACTTTGGTATGATTTAATATTGGGCTGCTTGTAGAAAGGGTATCACATTTTCATACCAAATGATTGCAGACAAAACAGCTCTGAAACATGATGCAATTTCTTCAGCAACTAATTGAGCAACATATTGCATGGCTGCAAATTTTGTTTGGCTGTATCCTTTATTGTAGCGTTGGGTAAAATAACCCAGTCATTTATAAGTATGCTGTATTTTAATAATCATAAATGTTTTTGCACAACTGAATTTTTTTTAAAAATCCTGTACAGTTGCTGGATAATACGTGCATTTTTATAAATACATAATTTGCTGATGTAACTGGAGCTGAATGTACATTGGGAGAAAGGCCAATAGTTAGGAAAAAAAAACGTTTTGGCATTTCACAACTTGTCCTTTTAATATCACCCAATCTCCAGTATTCAGCTGTTGCTGTTACATTAATCCAAATTTTTATCACTCTTTGTGAAAATTATCAAAAAAGACAACTTGCTATTAATATAAAAACTCTCTGATCTGATTTGACCAAATATATTAACTTCACATCCAACTATCTGAATTTTTTTTTGTAAACCGAACTAAATGGTTGGCTGTATCTGGAAAGGAGTTATCTTAGCACCATATTTATTCCAAAGTTGAGAATTTTTTTCATGTATCTGGGCTGCTTTCAAGAACATTTTAATCATATCCCCTACATTTAAGTCCAAATCCTCAACTTAAGCAAGAAACAGGGCCCAGCACTAAGCCGTATGGAACCCCATTTTAAACAGATCTTGATCACAAAAACATTTTTCTTTGTCATCTTCTGCTTCCTGCCTCTCAGCCAGTTTTGGATCCAACATGCCACTTTGTCATGGATCCCATGGGCTGTTAATTTCTTGACCCGTCTGCCATGCGCGACGTTACTAAAATCTTGCTGAAGTCCATGTAGACCACATTACATGCATTACTGTCATCAACAGTCCATGTTACCTCAAAATTCAATTGAATTTGTCATACGTGACCTTCCCTTAACAAATCCATGACTGATGATCTCTGACCCTTGTCCAAGTGCAGTTAAATTCTGATTTTCAGAATTTTCTCTAATAACCTCCCCACCACAGAGGTTAGACTAACTGACCTTTAATTTCCTGGCTTATCTCTTCCTTTTTAAATAATGGGACAATGTTTAACAATCTTCTGGCACGTAACCTTCAGTACTTTGGCCAGAGAGCATTCGAAAATTATTGCCAGGGTACCTGTGGCTTTGTCCACTTTTAAGGTTTCTAAACTTGCTTGCTGTCTCAATCCTGCAACCTAATGTCTACACCATGTCATCCTTGTCCAACAATTAACAAGGGTTTCATGGTCATTAGTAAATTCTTAATTCCGGATCTTTTTCTTTGAATTCAAATTTCACCAACTGTCGCGGTGGCATTCAGTCCTGGGTCCCCAGAATGTTAGCTGAGTTTCTTGGTTAATAGCCTAACAATAATACCACTGGGCCATGCCTCAGTGTCCAGATTCTAAAGTCGTCCTCCTGCACTGTCTCTCCAGCCATACAAACCTCTGCTGTATCCTTTTATTCCTATTCTCTCTACTGCACAACACTGGAAGTAATCCAGACATTACTTTCTTTGAAGTCCCATGGAAAAGTTTTTTCTCACTAAGTTTTTTTTTTGTTTCTCCACTTACTTGTGTTGATTTGTGCTTGTTTTTGCTTCATTGACTCAATCACTGGGATCTTGCCCTCTGGAATTCTTGTCAAAAATCACAATGTTGATACTGTCGTTTCTGTCATTGAAAGGCTTCCACAGGCTTTGAGTGGCCGTATCTTCAAGAGTATAGACTACTTCCCCTTGCACCCCAAAGGATTTTCCTGCTTTATTGCCTTTGTGTGGAGCATTCTGACATTTTCCTTTTTGCAACGTGTGCTAAGCCACTTAACTGAAATGTCAATTATTCCTTATTCAGTGCTGCACCCTAAGAGGAGGATATGGTGTTTCTTTGCTGATCTACAATGAGGAGTTGCATAAAAAAATTTCTGCAAATACAGTATTGTGTCCTAAAGTCTTTCCTATTTTCTGTTATGGTGATCCGAATTAAATAAGTAGCAGTTTCAGAGTGGGTAATGGATTAACATGGAGACCGCAAGAGTTAAGCTACCTTCTTGAACTGCTGCAGTCCAAGTGGAGTAAGTATGCTTACAGTCCTGCTGGGAAGGGAGTTCAACAATTTTGATCTTGTGGCAGTGTGGGAAAAGCGATTTAGTTACAACTCAGGATGTTGCAAGGCTTGGAAGGGAGCTTGAAGGTTATGATGTTTCTGTGCATCATCTGTCCTTAAGGGGTGTGGAGGTTACGGGCTTGGAACATGCTGTTGAAGGAGGCTTGTGAGTTATTGCAGTGCATTTTATATACACACTGTTGCCACTGTGCATCGTTGGTAGAAGGGGTGCTAATTAAGAGGTCTGCATGGTCCTAGAATGTATCAAGCTTTTTGCAATTTAGAGCTGCACTCATCCAGGCAAGTGGAGAGTACATCATCGCTTTGTAGATGGTGAACAGGCTCTGGGGAGTCAGGAGGTGAGTTATTTGCTTCACGATTTCCAGTCTCTGTGTTCTAGTAGCCACAGTATTTATATGGCTGGTCCAGTTCAGTTTTTGATCAATGGTATTCCCGCAAGATGCTGATAGTGGAGGCTTCTGAATTCTTGTCAGGCTTTTGAATGCTATGGGGATATGATCAGGTTTTTCTCTTGTTGGAGAAGGTTATTTGCCTGGCATTTCAAGGGCACAAATGTTACTTGGCGCTGTAGATTACATTAAAATGAATGAATTCAAAGGCAACTAATGGCTTCATGATGACGACTAACATATTAAAAAGTAGATGAGAGCACTCATTATTCTGTGAGGATTTGATGGACTGAATGGCCTACTTCTGCTTCTACATCTTGCGGACATTGCAAGCATTCAGGGCAATACATACCACAACAATGAGGGCCAGCATTTACTCCACAACGTTTGAAATTAATACATTTACAGCAAGGCATCAAGGATAAATGGATGAATGTTTTTAATTAGAGCAAGTGATGCCCTTCAGTACAAAGATGAAAGTGGGATGTTGTGTCTCTTCACATATGCCAGATTGCTTTAGTGAGTTGTCCATTGGAGGTTG